CATTGGCAGATTTTTTTCTTGTTTTAAGCAAAAACTAACATAATTTTGATCATTTTATTTTTTTCCAGAAAACAAGATTTCATATTTTAAGTCATTTTTATTCTCAAATAAATGTATCTTGATTAAAAAATGTTTACATATTTGTACTGGAGAACATAATAAAAATACTGAGAAAGAATAAAAAAATTATAATAAAAAAATTATATTAAATATACGTATACTGTATATTTTTTGCAGTGTGGAACTAACTGAAAGCATGCAAACTACAGCTACAACTAACTGAAATTTATATTTAACTTTGTATATTTTATGTATTTCATTTAATGTTTATTTTATTTCAACTAATGATTTTTAATATAGTTTTAGTTTACTACAGTGCTGGCCAAAATGATTAGAACATTAGTATTTCCAGCAGCTTAAAAATGGTTTTAAGTCAGTTATTTCTATTTTTTGCTGTAGTGTGTCAGGAGGAAATATCAGTTTACATTTCAAAACATTAATTTAGCCATTAATTGTAATAATGCAGTGAGATATATGTTGGTGCTGCACACAGAGATCTGATCTGATCATCATCAGTCTGTCTGGAGTCACATGAAGAAACAGAACACACTGAGACTCAAGCCAGAAGAACTGGCGCTTCTAGAAACCTCCTGCAAAGCTACAGAACTGTTAAAAGTTTGAGGCACATGTAAAATGAGGATGCTGTCATAAATTGATTTTCTTTCTCAATTAACTTCTATTAACTAAATGAAATCATCATTTGGTGTGAGCATCTTTGTGTTTAAAGCAGCGTTTGCCCTCGGTGCACTTGAGCAGAGTTTCTCAGGAGGTTTCTAGAAGCGTCAGTTCTTCTGGATTGAGTCTGTCTCAGTTTGTTCTGTTTCTTCATGTGACTCCAGACAGACTGATGATGATCAGATCACATCTCTGTGTGCAGCACTAACATATATCTCACTGCATTATTACAGTTAATGCAGACACAAACTGATATTTCCTCCTGACACACTCCAGCAGAACGTTCTGAATCTGGAGTCAGACCTGGTTCAGATTGATGGGAATGAATGCATGTACCCCGTTGGCGGCGCTGACGGCCTGATAGTAGATGCTGTAGCTCTTGTGTGGCAGCAGCGGGGCGTTCCAGTATCCGCCGTAGGTCCGGTTGTCTCCGACGGTGAACGTCTGCGGAGATGAGACGCCTGCGGAGGGGAACTCAGCGCTGTAGTAGTACTGAGAGTTCAGCCCGCTGGCGTTATGATAGTGAACCGGCAGCGGATAACAGCGCAGGATCTCCGCTTCACCTCCACGAGCCCTTCGAGGACGCTCCTCCTCAACAACCACCTGATACACACTGAGAGAGATTACTTGTTCAAATGTCATTTCAATTGCTATATTGTTCCAAATTACACTGTTGTATATGTTATCTTTTCCTATGCATGCTTTGGCAATGCAAAATGTGCTTTTGTCAAGCCAATAAACTAATTGAATTGAGAGAGAGAGAGAATAAACATTACTGTACAAGCCCACACAAACAATGCTTTTATTCAGCGAGGACGCATTCAATTCATCAAAAGTGCCAGTAAAGACATTTATAATGTTCCAAAAGATTTCTATTTCAAATAAATGCTGTTCCTTTGAACTTTCTGTTCATCTGTGAATCCTGAAAAATAAAACGTAGCACGGTTTGTCACGTGTGCGCTACTGTGGAGGAGCACGGAGCGAGGAACGAGGAGACCAGGAGTACAATCCAAACACAGACTTTAATCACGTCACGGGAACCAGGAAATCACACGTAGCGGGAAGGAAGACGTAACTGATAACAACACTATTTATACAAATGACATGCCGATGGGATGACGAGACACATCTGGGATCAATAGAACTGAAAAGGAGACACCTGGAACAGATAAGGACAGGAACGGGCAGGACCAAATATGGGCATGGAAGACACATGGGGAGTAAAACACAGAACAAAGTCTGACAGGTTTCCACAAAAATATTGTGCAGCACAACTGTTTTCAACATTGATAATAATCAGAAATGTTTCTCGAGCAGCAGATCAGCATATTATACTGATTTCTGAAGATCATGTGACACTGAAGACTGGAGGAATGATGCTGAAGATACAGCTGCACATCACAGAAATACATTACAGCTTAACAGATACTCACACAGAACACAGCTGTTTTACGTTCTAATAATATTCTCATTACTGTAATGCTGATTTTATTTATTTATATTTGTATCAGAGCATCTAGAATACTAGATTTGGTTAAAAGCCATAAATTACAGACAGCACAATAAATATTACAATGTGTAGAAACTGAAATCAAACTCATAAACAACTGTTTGTTTGTTTTCATACATGAGAATCTGTGGAGTAAAATATGTTAAATTGCCACGAGAATCAAAATGCTATTAAAAATATTATTAATACTAATAAGTAATTTAAAAAGAATAAAATACAATTTAAAACGTAAGCTTAAAATAATAATAATTTAGTAAGATAGTAACTAATTGAATTGAATTGAATTTTTTTTATTTATTGATTTTGAGATGAAATATGAAAAAAAAAATTATTTCTTGTTTTCTAGTATAAATATAAAAAAATTCTTGAATCGAGATGCATTTTCTTTAAAGGTAAAATTACGTAAGATTTTATGTCTTGTTTTCTGAAAAAAAGATAAACATTTAGTTAGCGTTAACTGTAGTTAAAACAAGCAAAAATATCTGCAAGAAAAATTATATTGTTTAGCCTTTGAATCAAGATTATTTTTCTTACCCTATTGGCAGATATTTTTGCTCGTTTTAAGCAAAAACGAACACAATTTTGATCATTTCCTTTAGAAAACAAGACTTTGTCATTTCACCTGTCAAGTAAATGCATCTTGATTCAAGAACGTTTAGATATTTATTCTATAAAACAAGACACAAATACAAAATAAGAAACCCATTTTTTGCAGAGTGTATAAACTGCTTTACAATTGAACAATTATATCATATATAATTGTGTTTTTGCAATGCAGCAATGCAATTCTTTTTTCATTTATTTATGTGTCATGGAAATAATGTCACAAGGTTGTTTTTAATTTTGAGGTGAAATATGATATGGAAAATGTATTGAGAGTTCCCTAATCAAAAAGGTAGAGTGTAACTGACCTCATATAACAGAGAGTGTGCTTTGATAAAACCTGCTTCACTGAGGATGAGTGTGAGGAAGGTTATTCCTGTCGCCTCTCTTTCTCAGAGCTGCTCTCTCCACCAGCAAGATAAACGAGCACAAAGACGCTCGTGCTTGCTGTTTAATCATGTATGGACGTAAAGGGCAAACATCAGGCATTCCCTGTGTCAGTTTTGGGGAAGGGCCGCTGGGGCCCCGGAGCGCCGCGCAGATACACTCGAGCGACCGTGGATGTTAAGCGACCGTGACAAAAACACGCACAGCAGCGGATGCAAACAGAGCTCGTGTTTCACGCGCTTCACATGAACTGAAACAGAAGCAGAGCTGATGCTAATCTGACCTTTGAGTTCACTAATCTGTAATAAAGTCTGGGTTTGCTAGCAAAAGGTTATCTGTGAATATAACAAATATACAGTAGTTAATGAAATTACAAACTTCCACGCCGCCTGCCCTTTGCTGCGCTTTCTCATTAAACACAGAAGAAACAAGCTGCTGGAAAACTCCTTCTGGAGAGGTATATCTTTACTGCAGCACGTCAACAATATTCAACAAGATTAAACACAAAACATATATGTATATCATATGAAATAAACTCACATATAAAAATATGCATACATATAACATCTATCTAAGCATGTCACAGCACAGCACACATTCAGAAAGAATCCTAAAATTTTGAACAAAATGAACATATAATATACATATATATATAAAATTTAAATATCACTATATAAAGGAATAATGTAAATATTATAGCTTATATAGATATTTGATGTTTTTATATATATATGTATATATATTTAAAAAAAGTTTTTTTTACAAATCCTAAAATATATGTATATAAGCTGTAATATTTTTTCATACTTTTTACACAAATTATGAAAAATTATTATAATAAGTTATAATATTTATATTTTTGACACTTTTTATTTTGTAGCCCTTGTGAATAATAGTATTATTAATAGTAAATATTATAGCTTATATAGATATTTGATGTTTTTATTTATTTTAGTTATTTATTTAAATGTTCAATATTTTTAAGCCACACAAAAGTTATGAAACATATTTTTTATAAATCATATAAAATATATTTATGTAAGCTATACTATTTGTTCATACATTTATTTGCACATATTACAAAAAGGGGAAAAAAAAACATCATATACAATTATATCTGTATAATAATAATAATATAGTACAGTATAGTAAGTTATAATATTAATATGTTGGGCAATTTTTATTTTGTATATTATATATATATATATATGCACACAGAATGTGCATCAAGAACACACTCGCATTTAGTTTGAGCATCATTTTCATGGGAAATTATTAATACAGAAACATCAGGGTAACGGCGGTCTTGGCCAGTCCTTCAGGTCGGAGATGAAATATCATGTGATAAATTATTTAAGCCAATGAGAGCCAGCGCAGGTGAGAGGGGAAGTTAATTAACAGCTGATCGCACACTCAGGTCAGAGTTCAGAGGTCAAAGGTCAAATCAGGGCCTCACTGGAGTTCTGTGCGGATTACAGATGAAGCAGAGACAGAGAGAAGCGTCTGTGTGTGTGAGTGTGTGTGTGTGTGTGTGTGTGTGAGTGTGTGTGTGTGTGTGTGCGTGGGTGTGCGTGTGTAATGCTCAGGCTACAGAAATCATGGGAACAGCACACAAATAATGAGACTGAAAACCACACACAGTCACACCGCAGGAAATTAACCTCCTCATTTATACAAAATCAATGCATGTGTGTAATATTTACATGCTCACTCCAGCAGAAATCAGTGGCTTTCCTTTCTGAATGTGTCCTGTGGTGCGACACGCATCTACTGCAGCTAAATTATATTAAACAGCAAAACTTTTAAAACATTCTATGATTATGAGCTCATGAAATGAAATTATCTTTTTTTTTTTTGACAATTTAAAAAGGCTTTTGTCACACCACAAGGTAAAAATGTGATGATTTTTATTTTTTTATTTTTTTTAATTAGCTGGAGAAAAAGAAACAGTGACAATATGTGAGGTATGAACCTTTCCCTTATATCCCTTATACACTTATAGCAAAATATATCTAAGGTCCACGCATCAACTAATCAAAGACATTTATTTTGAAAAGCTCTAATAGTTTAAGATGTTTCATGTAGACGCTATACAGATGTGAATATTACATTTATACTCAAATATTCTATTAAACAGATAACAGATTTACTTCACTGACATCCTTAACCTCTGATATGTACTTTCTGCTCTGATGTGTTTCTTTGTCACAAACACTGTAAACACGGTACACACACCATAAGATATCGTTTTTTTGTATCAGAGCATTTTAATGAGAATGAGTACAAATAAACGAGCTCCAGAATCAGGCCTAAAAAAGTACAGAACAAATGTACGGAACAAAAACAGCATTGTTTTAAACACTGCATGTGTGGAACTTCATTTGGAACTTTCAGTTTTATATATAGTTACATTAAATAAGAAACAAAGTTTCATTGTTCAGATTCTGTACATTTTATCAGGAAATTGAAACAATAAATGGCGTTGTGTTGTGAGAGATAGACTCCTCAGTTCAAGCAGCGGAGCACGAGTGAACACCATTATCTCTTCCTCTTTACTACTAATTATAACACAAAATAAACATGAATGAACCTCTCGAAATCCCTCACTGCTTCATGAAATCACTCAATCAGACTTCAGTAAAACTGTAGTTCACACAAAAATTCTGTCATTAATTACTCACCCTCACATCGTTCCAAACCCGTAAGACCTCCGTTCATCTTCAGAACACAAATTAAGAGATTTTTGTTCAAATCTGAGAGCTCTCTGACCCTCCGTAGACAGCAATGCAACTGCAATGTTCCCAGGTCCAGAAACACAGTAACAACATCGCTAAATTAGTCCTTGTGACATCAGTGGCTCAACCGTAATTTTACGAAGCTACGAGAAAACTTTTTGTGTGCAAAGAAAACAATAATAACAATTTATTCAACAATTCTTCTCCCCGAGTTACCGTCTTACACCATTTTGGAGAGTACCCCAGAACGTAATCAAATCAAAAAATTATTAAAACTAGTAAATTATGTTTATCTGAAAGTGTAAGAAAGCAAACAGGTTTTCTGTAAGGGGTAGGTTTAGGGTTAGGGGATAGAAAATATTGTTTGGTCAGTATAAA